TATCTGTCTATCTGTCTATCTGTCTAACTGTCTATCTGTCTATTAAAACTTACAGGGTACTTACCATTGTAAGATTTGACCGTTTGAGAAAAAGTATACTGTCCCTTTAATGTTGAAAAATAAGTCCTGAAATAAATTACCTGAATGCTTCGTAACTACTTTGCAGGGCTGTTCCATCAGGAGTAAACCTTAAGAAAAAAAATAATTTTGTAAAAGATAAATAATGAGAGATAAATACTCAAAATAAAAACAAAATTATAACTGATTGCAAAGAATAGGATCAAGCCGGTCTTTCTCATTGGCAGACCAGTGATTAGCTTGTAACAAATTGAATTTTTACCGTACCGTACATGCATCAAATTTGGACCCAGCACGACCCCAGGATTTTATTGTATCCTCCGTGCTTGAAATTGGCGTAAAAGACCTCTCTTATGCAAGCTCAACGGGTTCAACAGTATCAGTACAAGCAGCACTGGTAAGGGTCGGTACAGTACAGATCCAGTGGACTGGTTAATACACGTTGTACCAACGTTGGTTTGGTTGGTACACCAAGCACTGGTAAGGGTCGGTACAGTACAAATCCAGTGGACTGGTTGATACACGTTGTACCAATGTTGGTTGGTGCACCAAGCACTAGTAAGGGTCGGTACAGTGCAGATCCAGAGGACTGGTTGGTACACGTTGCGGCGGCACTGGTCGGTGCAGTACAAACAAATCAAAATCAGTACTGGTACAAAAAGAACAAAATAATTGTACCTGGGGAAGATGGTAGGATCGACAGGACACCCGTTCTCATCAATAATTGGGAATGTTGACCTTGAATCTTTAGCCATTGCGACACAGTTCCTAAATAATCAGAATTTAAAATCTTTTTAAAATACCTTTTTATGTGGTGCTGCTTTCAAAGTAGCATTATATAGTACATTGATCTCCTTAACATCTATTTCGTGTATTACCTTCTAAAGATTGTTAGTCTACAGAACACAACTTCATTAAATGAACCGGAGTTCTTGTTGTTCTTACTCTACTAGCACAGTCAGCCGTAGCACATTTGAAGTTCCGAGCCGGGTCAACCTTTCCGGTCCCAGTTTGTACTGTACCTAGCTCTTAGGATAGCACTTGCCGGTACAACAAGGTTGACGCGGTCAGACTTAAAGGGACAGTAAAGGAAAAATGAAAGGGGGTATAGGCTGAAGGCTAATCACTTTAGCTCTTGATCGCGACCCATAAAAGTTATATCCGATGCTCCTATCTCGAGAAATTAATATAAAACTGTGTCAAATATATACGAAAATTAATATATATACAATTTTGTATAAAAGTAGTAGGTTTAAACAGATCATATTCAGCAAATAAGCAACCAATCTGAAAACGATGATATCCCAGAGAAAGCTAATTGTAATTTAGGTTTACTTTTATATTTGTTGTTTCTATTTTCAA